GCTATCTTTCGAGACACCCTGTGCATAATTTATCACCAGACTGGATCAGGTTTGACCGTGCGTATCGAGGAGTTCAACCGCGATGCATAAATCGGAACGAACGAATAATAATAATATGCCATCGTCAGATCTGCAGTTAGGAAAAAAAATGTAAATGCATCTTCCATTACCGGACGAATATTCAAGTGGTGTCATTAAAAGATCGCGAACTTAAAATAACCATCGTGAGAAAGTTTCTTCCTCTACGTAGTCGGTCTTATTAAACTTCCAAAGCTTCATAAAATAAAAAAAAGCAAGTTACATTAAAACTCAGTCCGGTTAAATTAGCCTGATTAAAAATTAATTCGTATCGAGAAAACGTTAATCAAACGAAGTTGCTTATGCGACGCAATACGCCTGAATTATTTGGTAAATTAAGCATGTGCGATACTCTCCTGGTCACCTCACCGTGGCTAATACCCTTTTTTGCGTCCGTTTACCTTAATTTGCGTTATTTACATCTCCTTTGTTTCGTATTTCGCAACGAAGATGTTACGATGATGCGCGATCCTCAGCGAGCGCTTCGTCTTCAACTCATGACCATCAAGTCGGTGCTAATGGATCAAAGCAACAAAATGCTTTGCACTTTGCGAGTCGTTGCGATTCCGGAAGAGGTAAAAGATAAACCGTTATATCGTAAAACGTAACAAAAGCGCAAGAAATCGCGACAAGGTTCCAAGTGTTGTTAAATTCAAGCGACATCTAAAATTAAAGCTGGGATTCCGTAGAGAGCAACTGGTTTCTATTATTCTATCTCCTCTGATACAGAATTAAAAACCCGTTTTAAAAACCCGAATTTTTTATCCGTTTGTTTCAATTGTAATTAGTTACAAGTGATGTCAAATTTGTCTACTTCCATCCATTTATATATACTTCATACATTTATATATACTTTTATTATTTAATATTAGTAAAAATACGTATTTTCTTTTGTCAGATATATGTTTTGTTTCTCATCTTCGTATTTCTTAATGATAAAAACTATATTTCCGTCTTGATGACTTACAATAGAAGAATATTAGCTATAGAATTTCAGTAATTTCGTCCACGAGGCTTCTATTTTTAAGCTTCATTATCCCGGAAGAGAAAAAGATTCGTTTGAGAAAAAAATCCCTCAATGGCCATTAACCTCGTTCCTTCGCTGGCCTCAGCGGCAAATAACGAAGCAGAGTCGTGTTCCTGGATCCCTTGAATGTGATTACACGTAGAAGGAAGGAAAGGACGAAGAGAGAGAGAGAGAGAGAGAGAGAGAGAGAGAGAGAGAGAGAGAAGGTTAGGGCGCTTGTCTTGATTTAGTAATAACAAGGCACGGTAGTAGAGATGTGCGAGTGTCTACATGAAGCTACGTGAAGACGAAGACGAAGACGAAGACGGCGACAGCCGACGGACGGAAGGGAGACTGAAGCGGCACAAGATGAGAAAGCAAGTTCTCAAAGTAAGGAACTGAGTACACGACTAAGGTACTAATCAGAGTCCCGCGTCTGTTTCGCAATATGCTGAAATGCTGGGAAGACTGTTCCTGTAACAGACTATGCTACGCGAGATCTACCGAAATCTTCATGAGCGAGATTATGTGTATAAATGATGATTCTGGCGAGTCGTTAAGTTTAAATTGACATCCATTCTCTTATTTGTCGCATCGCAATAAAGATTTCACCTAGAAAATTCAAGAATAATGTTGAGTACACATCTGTTTTACAGTCAACCGGAAATTTTTCTAAAAAGCAGCTCCTCATATTAAACACTTAATTTAACACGGAGAATATTTTGTCAAATAGATTCAAGAATTTCGCTACACAAAGTAATCAAAGTAGTTTCCCCCCCAAAAAAGATGTGCGAAATGACTCCTATTTTGAATATTTGTCTGACAGATTTTTAATCCCAAAAGAGCAAGACAGCGTAAAATAAATACTGAATCAAATAAATGAGTCAAGAAGTTTAGGTAGAATTAAAAAAAAAAAGATTCTAGAAAATACATTTAATTCATGAAAATTAAATAGCACATAAGAATCGGATTAGGTATAATACATAGAGATTGCGAATAACACTGAGGTAAGATTGAAAAACGAAATATAATTTAAACGATAGAATAATACAGAAATACAGCCTTTGCGAAGACAAGTTCGCTCAACACGACACAGTTCAAATTAACTAATCCGACATCCGACGTCGCCTATCGCGGGAGTTTCTCAAGGGTTAAGGGCCAACTCCGGGGATTTACAGGGACCTCTAACTGTACGAAGCGTTTCAGAGAACGACCCACTGAATGGGATTCGAGTTCCGGTTTCTCGTTATATAGTGACGATGCGGCATGCAGGTACCGTATTTAATGCCAATAACGACGTGCACGCGCGTGCGATCGCGTATTCAGCTCGACTTTTGACTGTCTAACTTCTGCGCTACCGATTCCTACTTGACAAAACCGTCAAGTGCCTTCTATTTGCGAATTTATTTTCTTTTTCGCGATATTAATTTTTTTTAGGGAGTCATTCGGGCTGCTTTCGAGTCACTGTAGATGTGCTTCTGAATTACAAGTAGAACAATACATAAATAGTAATAAAGTGTAAGAGCCGTTTTGGAAAAAACAATGGTTGCGCTAGCTTTGAGATTAAAGTTCTCGCAGCCACCTCAGCGCAATCTCCTTTTTACTCAATCAAACGCGCAAATCCGATTTTTTTCCTCCAAATGCGATTTTTTTCCTCCAGCCGTTTCGTTAAAAGTTTAAAGCGTGATACGAATTACATTCAAATTTAAGAAAGTAAACAGATAATAATCGCTTGTATGTAAAACGGAAATTTATAATTTTAATAATTTATTATTCTTTACCGTCCCGTTCCCTATTTACGAATTTGATGTAATTTTAATTTAATTTGTATTTCTTTGAAATAAATTCCATATCGATATTATTACTAGACTAAACGAAAAGTTCGTTCTGTTTTTTTTTTATAACAAATAGCATTAGTATAAATACAAAAAAAAATTTTCGGAAACTTTAAGTTCAATTTAACATTAAAACAAACCCTATCAATAGGATCTATTAGATATAGCACAATCATTGTGTCATATACATCATATAACATAGTTAAAAATGTCAACATATTTATTGATGAAAATATCGTGCAAACACCTTGTAAATCGTGTCAGCAGTGCCGGGAAAGTCTTGGATCGCGGATGAAAGTAACTCTCGCTGTGTATACCGAAGATGATACGCTTCTCTAAGTAATGGTCGGAGTTCACACTCCGAGGGGGATTACGAGGTGGAAAAAAAGAAACTGAAAGCTCGAAATACGATGGCGGATAGACACAAGGGAATGAAGCGATTCCGAAACACAAAATATCCACCGTCTCGTGCTTGTTATCTTCATTCTTTCCGTCTATTGCTCCGAGTCTCGATTTCGCGGAGCACGAGTTAGCAACATAGAACACGAGATTGGCCAATTGCGAATTAATTAAGCATAAAGTACGGAATTAACGATATCTATCGCGCGCACCATTAAATATGTATTAGTCGTGTAAGTTTCCGGCAACGTAGAATATTTGTTACGCGATAGTGTCATGCAAGAGATTCTATTCGAATCTTTGGCTACTGTAAAGAAAAAGCTTAGCCGCTCGTAAAGTCGCGTAACTTGCAAGTTTAACGCTCTCGTGATAGCTCAGGTGATTTTATGTGTTTGCGTTGCTAGGAGCCAGAAGCCATTTGCGTGTCTTCATGTATTTGCTCTGCCAAGGGCGAAAAGCAATGGATATATTCTTTATATGTTTGCTATTTGCACCGATATCCAGAGAGATAGGATATCCTATCTCTGTTTATGGGATATTTCCTATTTGCAATATTTTAAAATATCATCAGAATCCAATTCGTTGTATTCAAAGTAAGCTTTTTCCTCGGATTTTCGAAAAAATCCGCTGTAACGGACATCGGACAGATGGAAAATTCGACGGTCGCCGTATCGAGTGAAATTAAGCTATAAATATTCGTTACACACGCGAATTACGGAATCGAATTTGTGCCACTCCTGATTCTCTTGATAAAAATTATACGCATAATATTTTGTACTATCATGTGTCTATAAATAAACCGAATGGAACATTGAGCGCTGCGGAGCAGCACGAATCGCTGTGCTGCGACACGTCGCGTCGGTAGGAATCGTTTTTCCTAAACATTGGAATTGAGAATCTGAAAAGTAGCTGCGCGTGTAAGAGGCGATTCCGGATAATCTCCAACATTATTCGCAACGATTCGTGGTTGCGGGCAGAAGTCCGTAGTCTTCAAAGCGTCCACGTGTCCGTTCGTGTCAGTCAATGGAGTATAAACTTTCTAATCGAATTAGAGGTCGGCGCTCCCCTTTGCCGTGGCATTTTACTCAGCGATCAAACAGGTTCTCCGATGTGCCAATTTGAAGGTATTGTAAAGACATTGTAAAGTTATTGCACGTATACAACGGATGTACGGAAGAGCGGGATTCTCAAGAAGAGATTAGTAAATTTTTGAAATTGAAATTATGCAGCTATCAACGAATTTCGCAAGTAACTTCATTGAAATTCGCAGAACTACGGAATAATGCAAAAATTCAATTGCGGTCCTTGATTCCAGAAAATTTAATGCGATTTTGATCTACAAAGTTATGTTCGCGAAAGCTTAACGTCCACATCATAAATATTTAAAATGTATGGAATTAGACAACATTGAAATTTAGAATTAGGTATTTTTCTTTTATAAATATATATTATTCAGAAATTTTTTGATAACACGTTTCATGAGGACCACTGGTATAGTGTCTGAAGAGAAGACAAAACGCGCATTACGGAAAACAAACATGTAACAGCAGCGGTGTAAATCCGTCTCATATGTCTTATGATAGTGTCGCGTGTGCGCGGAGGAGAGAGAGAGCGAGCGAAACAGCCGCGGGATGGATAAATCCAGGGGAATCGGAAAGGCTTTTAGAGAAAAATGTACTCACCGCCATGTCCTCGCTCCTGTAAGCCGTGAGGGTCTGCTCGTCCTGCAGGAGGACGCAGTAACAAGGTTCCCAGCATGCCTCGCTGGCAGCCTCGCCGACGCAGCATTCGGCCTCTGCAAAAGAGAAAGATGGTCCCTCATGAATAACCCAGGCAAATAGACGACGGCACCGACGACACCATTGTGCGTGTCGTCGTCCTACTACGAGAGAGAGAGAGTAAAGTCACCGGTCAGGAGAGTGACTCGCAAGGATAATAGACCGAGCGTAAATTATCCTCCTGGAGGAGGGAAGAGAAAGAGCGCACAGTCAAGAGAAATCATCGGTAATGACCGATCGGACGTGTATATCCTCTCCCGCGGGCGGAGATATCGATTGCCTTTTCCATAATTGCACCGCGTTCAATTGCGGTTATGACTTACAGAAATAACATGCGTTGGAAAAGACGTAATAACGTAACTATCTCACGCGTTGCAAATCGAAGCGTGATAGGAGGGAAAGTATAATAACCTTCTGTTCGCACGATTTCAGAATAGGAAGTGAAAACAGGATAAAGCAATAATTCTAATTAACGCAAAAGCAATCGTCCCAATTCTTACCTTTCCAACGTTAAATATCTTTAAAATTATTAATGCAGTCAAAATATACAAACATAATTAAAGTTACGAATAAAATTTAAAGGAACTTATAACGAAGAATAAAATTCTTCTCTACTTGCTCGCCGGAACTCGAATCAATCTTCGTTTTTAATTGTACATCAGTCAGGAATGATCGATGTCTCTACAGGTTGAAAACAATTGGCATTCCGCGAAGTTTATCTTAGCAGTATCTATATTTGAGCGATAGTTCCGCTACATCCTGTACTCCGGTCATGATTTACGACGTAGGTACATAACTGTCTAAGATTTATGCACAGACGCGTAACAACATTATCCGGAACATTCTTACGTGATGAAGGCAAGAACGCATTACGGTCGGAAACGACCGATGTAATGAGCGAAACGCATCTCTGATAGCTCGGGAGGAATGAATTCTGCCATTAGGAAATTGTCGTTATCGTTCATTACACACGAGCACCCGATCGATACCCTTATACGTAGACACTATTCAAGAGACTTTTCTTGCAGTCATGGCTGTAAGTTGTACATTTACAATACGCAATATACTAATACATGCTTATTTACGGGGGTGCCGCACACGGCATGCTGCTTCCCCGTACGATTCTGAAATAGTTTCAAGAGAAACAATGCCTGTGTTTTTCTCACACGGTGCCGCGAAAAACATTGATTGCGAATCGCGATTGTAATCGGAGTGCAGACAAAGCGTAAGTCGCGGGATATATCAATTTCAGTCTGACGATTGGGATTGTTTTTGCGAGAAACGAAAGAAGGGGTAAAAAAGCGCAAAGGGAGACTGGAGTACAAAGCGACGAATTTAACAGAGTTTTTTTTAATTCAACGATGCTATCGAAAACAGACGCGCAAGTCGCAATTGATATATAATTCGAATAATTTAATGTCGAAATAATGGAACACGAAAAATAAATGTGCAATATTACTTAATTATAATGAGTATATACGGAACGGAGATTCCTGATAGCGTTCGCTTTTTATAAAAAGTAATAGCCTGGAAACGTCTTTGAAGGCATAGTGCTAAGTCATCTCTCCCTACCGTATATTACAGAAAAACCGCGTGAACGTGATCGATATAAAATTATAGGGCACTCTATGGCGCCACCATTTCCTTAGTCTTCTTGCACTTCTAACGTGCTGGGAAATGTAATTTGGCGCAGTCGATTACATCATCCATTATCGAGCACTTGTCCTTATACCACACGAAATCTTATGATCAAGCGTGAGAAAAATTTTTTTAATAAATAAGAAAGATAATTGTTTTTTAGAAACTGTAAAAAAAATATTAAAAATATATTTTGTATTTGTATGTAGAATGTAGTTAGCATAACATATTCATAATGTATAATGTAGTTAGTATAATATAGCAGAATATTTATTACAATAAAATTAAAAGGATTCAGATTGCCTTTATAATTTATAACAAAATTTTAAAAATTCAGATTGTCTTTGTAATTTTATAATTGTCTTAAGCTATTCGCTACACAGTGCGCTTCAAACAATTTTGTTTTATTATTCTTTTCTTTTACTACTTGTATTTTTTAGTTTTTACCACAGTTTTTACTTTTATTATTTCATTTTTATCAGTATGCAAAATTGCATCCGTATAAATTTCTCATCTCAATCTCAAACTTACAATTAACGTTAAAAACCTTTAAAAAAGAACACTTGATGACTATTGAATTCAACACCTTCTACTAATCAAGTTAGCAAATATTAATTTGCCGATTGAAATAATTTGCGGAATGCGATAGGTAAACCGAGCTGATTACAAGAGTATGTTCGTTCAAAACAGTGTGTAAACGAACGATCCGCAGAAATAACGCGAGAAACTGGTTTATGTTTAGAGCTGACCACTAACGGCGGTGAACAAAGATGAAGAGTGGAGATCTGGCATGGCCGATGGTCGCCGTCCGTGCACAATGTAGCCGGCATGTGTTTCTTATGAGTAGAGATGGTAACACGCTGACAATTTTATGACTATTACGCCGGCACGCTCTTCACATTGCGTTTTATTTGTGATAATTTTTAATGACATGCCCGCAAGTCATACCGACATATGATTACATACGGCTGCCATTTTCCGCCGTTCGAATACCATGTTGTGCGCTTCAATTTGTACTACGCCAACCAACGGTATTAGCGGTCTGACGTAAGTATAGATGTCTGTGGCTGAAGAGAACCCCATGCGGCTGACGAGCAGTGCCGCTGTTGATACCGTTGAATTCTGCGGTACACCCGTTTAGACGAACGTAGGCGTTAATTGCAACCATAGCCATGTGTGCACGGATACGTTGTGCAATATGTTAACAATAATATCAAAATTAAAAGATTATAAATCTCTGTCAGGAAAAAAAAGATATGAAAAGTCGATAAAATCTGACAGATGCAAAGTTTTTTATCGACTTTTTATCGAGTAAAACAGTACATTTTTTTCATAATCAATCTTAATCAATAATAATTAATTTTTAATATATACATATATATTATATCTAACTAATTTTTACTAAATTGTATATGACAGATTTTTTATTTCAAATTCACAAAGGCCATCGTAAAATTCCAACAGAGATTCTTGTTCAAATCCTTGACACAAGAAATATTATGGAACTTCAGACACAATGTCATCGCAAAACGTTTTATTTGAATGTAAAACCCAGAGTAGCCAGTGGAACATAAATCGAGCACATCGCTCATTAAATACTACACCCTCTCAATGGCGCACATCATCTTACTTTACTACTCCGCGTCTCTGATTCCGCGAATATTGAAAAATATATCGCGCCGCGCGGAAGCTACCCCTATTCCCGCGGGTACCGTCGCAAAAAGTTCCTAAATGATTAGTCTCGCTTGGCACTAAATTTTTCGTTACTTCCCGCCGCCGCGCTTTTTCCATAATGGACGCCGCCGCTCCATATTCCGCCGCGTGCACGAGATATCGCATTACTTTTATAACCGACGAAATTGTTCGCCCTGCCTCCGAGCACTCGCGGCACTTTACGGTTCTCGCGAAACTTTCGTATCGCTCGCTCCCTCTTTTTTTCCTAAAGTACATCCCTCGCCGGCCACGGCGAAGCTCTTCGTAGTTGGTTTCCCATTACTTGTTTCTCGTCGAATCCCGAAACATACAACGTACAACTGAACGCTCTAGTCAATGTCCAAAACTGCATTTGTGTTGGTAGTTAATAAGCAATTCCGAAATAGTTTTTCGTTGTTATGCGTATAATAATCACTTGCTAATAAAATAATTGTACTAAAGATTCGTTCTAAAAGCGTAACTTATAATTTACATATGTAAAAATAACAAAAAAACAAAATAAGGATTCGTGTTTAAGAATAGTTTATATTTTATTTATAATTTATATTTAAAGATTAGATGTTTAATATAGGTATTTCCTACATTTGTATTAATGAGAAAGAGAGAAAGATTTATAACGATTAATTACTTCCATAAAGGTATTTTATATCTCTATCACGTTCTTTTTCCTTTAGCTATTTCTATGAGTTATTCAATAAGTTTTCTGAATTTCGAGATAAAAATTTGTTAGGATGTACTTTCTTTCTTTACTTTTCACAACGTTAACAGGAAATATCTTGTCCCTTCGGTCGATACATTCGCGTCTTGCCAGAAAATAGAAGTTTCAAGCATCAGATTTCAAGTATCAATTTGATATTTCTGTTATCGAAAATTCTCAAACTTGTCAATACTTTGCTGCGGGAACGGACGGCGGCGTCGCATTTTTACTCGACAAAAATCTTCACATTAAAGACGTCAGAGAGCATTGAAAAGTGAATTTCATAAAATTATATCGCGTTAAATCTTCGGTTGCTCAGTCTACGAATCTCATACGCGAGGTACAAGCATCCAGATAGTTTTTCGACGCGTATCCTCGACGTTCTTATGAATGCGCGTATGCTAAGCCTCGTCGCGAGGCCTCCGGCACGTATATGGCGTACAATGGACAATGCCGCGCCGATATCGTGAGAGGCGATTCAAACCGACGCTCCAGCGATTACGATGACGATTAGGACTTAAACTGCGGCGGAAAGCTTTGCCGCTCTTTGGCGGTTGATCGATCCCGCACCAACGCTCGACGCGTCCTTGAATTCTGAACAATCGATGCGTGCGCTGCGTCGATCGGCTGGGCATGGTGAATGGGCTGCATGGAAAAGCTTTTTATACGCGTGAATTCCAAATGGCAAACGGGCTCCGAATTAAACCTCAAAATATTAAGCCACAGTTTCGCGTATTAATATTTGTAATATCCATCATTTTTCATACGTAAAAGAATTATTTACGTAATAATTAAAATTTTTATGTAAAATAAAAGCATTCGTTCATTTACTATTTAGAAACAAAATATTTGCATCGTACGGTAAAGACATTATTTCTCTGAATGATGGATTTATATGACTTTATAAAAAAATACAAACTTACACAATTTATTGAAAAAAATAAATATTCTGTAAAAATATTTAAAATT